CTTGATGAAGTCCCAAAAGTTCATTTTTGCTTTTGTTTCACTAGTTTTTGGAGATGTATCTTGAAAGAAGTTGCTGTGGGTGATGTCAAAGAGGTTACTGCCTATGTTCTCCTCTAGGATTTGGATGGATTCCTGTCTCACATTGAGGTCTTTCATCCACTTTGAGTTTATCTTTGTGAATGGTGTTAGAGAATGGTTGAGTTTCATTCTTCTGCATGTGGCTGTCCAATTTTTCCAGCACCATTTATTGAAGAGACTTTTTTCCATTGCATGTTTTTTCCTGCTTTGTCAAAGATTATTTGACCATAGAGTTGAGGGTCCATATCTGGGTTCTCTATTCTGTTCCATTGGTCTATATGTCTGTTTTTGTGCCAGTACCATGCTGTCTTGGTGATCACAGCTTTGTAATATAGCTTGAAATTGGGCAACATGATGCCCCCAGCTTTGTTTTTCTTTTTCAACATCTTGGCGATTCAGGGTCTTTTCTGATTCCATACAAATTTTAGGATTGTTTGTTCCAGCACTTTGAAAAATGTCATTGGAATTTTGATCAGGATGGCATTGAAGGTATAGATTGGTCTGGGTAGCATAGACATTTTAACAATGTTTATTCTTCCAATCCATGAGCATGGAATATTTTTCCATCTTTTTGGGTCTTCTTCAATTTCTTTCATGAGTGTTCTGTAGTTCCTAGAGTATAGATCCTTTACCTCTTTGGTTAGGTTTATTCTGAGGTATCTTATGGTTTTTGGTGCTACTGTAAATGGAATTATTTCTTTAATTTCTCTTTCTACAGTTGCATTGTTAGTGTATAAGAAAGCAACTGATTTCTGTGCATTGATTTTGTATCCTGCCATATTACTGAATTACTGGATGGGTTCTAGTAATTTGGGGGTGGAGTCTTTTGGGTTTTCCACATAAAGTATCATGTCGTCTGCGAAAAGAGAGAGTTTGACTTCTTCTTTGCCAATTTGAATACCTTTTATTTCTTTTTGTTGTCTGATTGCTGTTGCTAGGACTTCTAGTACTATGTTGAACAACAGTGGTGAGAGTGGGCACCCTTGACGTGTTCCTAATCTTAAGGGAAAGGCTCTCAGCTTTTCTCCATTGAGGATGATATTCACTGTGGGTTTTTTATAGATGGATTTTATGAGTTTGAGGAATGTTCCCTCTATCCCTATACTCTGGAGAGTTTTAATCAGGAAAGGATGTTGTATTTTGTCAAATGCTTTTTTTTGCATCAATTGAGAGGACCATATGGTTCTTCTCCCTCCTCTTATTAATGTGTTCTATCACATTGATTGATTTGCGAATGTTGAACCACTCTTGCATCCCAGGGATAAATCCCACTTGGTCGTGGTGGATGATCCTTTTAATGTATTGTTGGATCCTATTAGCTAGGATTTTATTGAGGATTTTGGAATCCATATTCATCAGGGATATCGGTCTGAAATTCTCCTTTTTGATGGGGTCTTTGCCTGGTTTGGGAATTAAGGTAATGCTGGCCTCATAGAATGAGTTTGGAAGTTTTCCTTCTATTTCTATTTTTCGAAACAGCTACAGTAGAATAGGTATTATTTCTTCTTTGAATGTTTGGTAGAATTCCCCAGGGAATCCATCAGGCCCTGGACTCTTGTTTTTTGGGAGGTTTTTGATCACTGCTTCAATCTCGTTACTGGTTATTGGCCTATTCAGGATGTCAGCTTCTTCCTGTTTCAGTCTTGGCAGCTTATAAGTTTCCAGGAAGGCCTCCATTTCATCCATATTGCTCAGTTTATTGGCATATAGTTGTTGATAATAATTTCTAATAATTGTTTCTATTTCCTTGGTGTTAGTCATGATCTCTCCCCTTTCATTCATAATTTTATTAATTTGGGTCCTTTCTCTTTTCTTTTGGATAAGTCTGGCCAGTGGTTTATCAATCTTATTAATTTTTTCAAAGAACCAACTTCTAGTTTCATTGATCTCATCTACTGTGTTTCTGGTTTCTAATTCATTGAGTTCTGCTCTAATTTTAATTATTTCTCTTCTAATGCATGGCTTAGGCATTGTTTGTTGCTTTTTCTCTAGTTCTTTAAGGTGTAGAGTTAGTTGGTGAATTCAGGATTTTTCTATTTTTTTTGAGTGAGGCTTGGATGGCTATGTATTTCCCCCTTAGGACCGCCTTTGCAGTATCCCATAGGTTTTGGACCAATGTGTTTTCGTTCTCACTGATTTCCATGAATTGTTTAAGTTCTTCTTTGATTTCTTGGTTGACCCACACATTCTTGAGCGGAGTGGTCTTTAGCTTCCAAGTGTTTGAATTTCTGCCAAATTTTTTCTTGTGATTGAGTTCCAGTTTTAGAGCATTATGGTCTGAGAATATGCAGGGAATCATCTCAGTCTTTTGGTATCAGTTGAGACCTGATTTGTGACCCAGTATATGGTCTATTCTGGAGAAAGTTCCATGTGCGCTCGAGAAGAATGAGTATTCTGTTGTTTTAGGATGGAATGTTCTGTAAATATCTATGAGGTCCATCTGGTCCAATGTATCATTCAAAGTTCTGTAAATATCTATGAGGTCCATCTGGTCCAATGGTTTCCTTATTGATTTGCTGCTTAGATGATCTGTCCATTGCTGAGAGTGGAGTATTGAGGTCTCCTACAATTAACGTATTGTTATCAATATGACTCTTTATTTTGGTTAACAGTTGGCTTATATAGATGGCTGCTCCCATGTTGGGGGCATAGATATTTACAATTGCTAGATCTCCTTGTTGGATAGACCCTTTAAGAATGATATAGTGTCCTTCTGTGTCTCTTATTACAAACTTTAGTTTAAAATCTAATTTGTCTGATATAAGAATTGCTACCCCAGCTTTCTTTTGAGGTCCGCTGGCATGGAAGATGGATCTCCATCCCTTCACTTTCAGTCTGGAAGTATCTTTAGGTTCAAAATGAGTCTCTTGTAGACAGCATATGGATGGGTCCTGTCTTTTTATCCAATCTGCAACCCTGTGCCATTTTATGGGAGCGTTTAGGCCATTCACGTTGAGAGTGATTATTGAAAGATATGAATTAATTGTCATCATGTTGCCTGTGAAGATGTTGTTTTTATAGACTGTCCCTGTAAATTTCTGTTGTATCTCACTCTTGTGGTATTTCTCCTTTTATAGAACCCCCCTTAATATTTCTTACAGGGCCGGCTTAGTGGTCACATATTTTTTCAGCTTCTGCCAGTCATGGAAGCTCTGTATCTCTCCATCCATTCTAAATGAAAGCCTTGCCGCATAAAGTATTCTTGGCTGCCTGTTCTTCTCATTTAGTACCCTGAATATGTCTTGCCAGGCCTTTCTGGCTTGCCAGGTCTCTGTGGATAGGTCTGACGTTATTCTGATGTTCCTCCCTCTGTATGTAACTGCCCTTAAGATGGTTTCCTTGGTTCTAACTGCCCTTAAGATGGTTTCCTTGGTTCTAAGATTTGCAAATTTGACTATTACATGCCGGGGTGTTGGCCTGTTTTCCTTGATCTTAGGAGGGGTCCTCTCTGCCTCTAGGACTCAAATGTTTGTTTCATTCCCCAGATTAGGGAAGTTCTCAGCTACGATTTGCTCAAATACATCTTCTAGCCCTCTCTCTCTCTCCACTCCCTCTGGGATTCCAATTATTCTGACATTGGAATGCCTCATGGTGTGACTTATTTCTCTGATTCTATTTTCATGGATTCTGAGTTGTTTCTCCCTGGCCTCCTCTTTTCCCTTTTTATCTATTATATTGTCCTCCAGGTCGCTTATTCTCTCTTCTGTCTCAGTTACCCTAGATGTTAGATTATCTAGATTGGATTGGATCTCATTGATAGCATTTTTAAGTTCTGCCAATTCACCTTTTATTTCTGCCCTTAGAGACTCTATGTTGCCATTAATTGATTTCTCCATTCTAGCCATTGTCTTCACAATTGCTAGCCTGAATTCCATCTCCAACATCTTGGTTATATCTGCATCCATTTGTAAATCTGTGGCATAAGTCATAATCTCTGAGTCTTTTCTGTTTTGGGGGCTCCTCCTCCTAGTCATTCTGTTGATGGGTGTTTGAGGGAATGTATAGAGTTGAAATTATTGACCAGAACCCAAGCAAGAGGCACCTGTTTTCTAGGGACCTTAGGGTTGCTGGCCTCTTGTTTTCCCAGCCTGTCTTCTGGGGGAGGGGCCTGCCACGCTGTCACTCAGGCAACCCTGTTTGGGCGGAGTTGACCTGCGCCCTTGTGGCGGGAGATGGGCTCAGTGGGAATCAGTCTTTGGGGCTTTTGTTCTCTGGCGCCTTTCCCTGGTGGCTTTCCATGTCTCGTCCATGAGTCAGAGCAGAAGAGACCGTTTCCAACCCTCTGCCTCAGAGCAGAGAGACCGCAGTCTGTTCTTCAGTGAGCCCTCCAGGCCACACCATCTCCATTTCTGTCTGTGCTGCTATAAACTGCAGCGTCCTGGGTTGTGCGCCCCTCCGCAGTGCACCCAGTCCTGCCTCCAGGTCAGGGCATGTCTCTGCCCTTTGTGCTTCTAAAACCGCCAGCCGCTCCCAGTTCACTGCGTGCGCGACTCCACCGCTCCGGGTTTCCACCCTGGGGGCTACAGTTCACCAGTGAGACCCTGGCGCTCTGGTTTTCCATCTGGGGGGCTGCAGTTCACATGCACGTGACTCCATCGCTCCGGGTTTCTGTCCCAGGGACTGCCCTAAAGTCCTTTCCCGATGCTACCGGTCTGCCAGTCTGTGCCCCGTCCGCAGTGCACGAGGGTGTCACTCACCGGCAGTGTAGGATCCCCATGGCCATGCACCCTCCTGCTGCCGTTTATCCTCTGATATCTGCCCGCAGAATCATGGCTCCCCGCTTTGTACCTCAAAACCAACTGCTGCGATATTCTGTTTGTAGAGATCCAGATCTTCTTACATCTCAGGCTGGTTTCATGGGTGCTCAGAGTGGTCTGGTAGATATCTAGCTCAATTCCGGGGACCAGCTGAAATAGGGTCCCCTACTCCTCCGCCATCTTTCCCCTCCCCCTCAAGGCTTCTTCCCAACGTTTAAAATTAAACAGTTCCTCTCCAGTATGGCTTCTCTCCATTTCTACCACACTGGGTGTTTTCCCCTGCAAAATATTATGCTGAGACACTGACCATTTGGTATTAAGACAAATCTCCCAATCTATTGCAGCCAGACTCTTGTAGTTCTCCAGCATCACATTTCTGCACAGCCTTCTCTGAGTTTGATCCAGCAAAATCCACTTCTCCTGGGTGAATTCCACAGCCACATCCTCAAAGATCACTGGGTCCTGAGAATAATTTGTCAGACACCTGGTCACTATGCTTTCCTCTTCTGACTTCTCCTCACAAAGACAGAAAAAAAAGGTGACCACAAGAGAAAAGATCAATGGCTGGCATCCTGTGGGTATGACAGTAAAACCTCCCTGAACCCTTCTTGTTCCCAAAGTCCTTCAAGACAGTTATCTGAATTTAGTGGAGATAGGTCAATCTCAATTCCTCTTGATTAAGTAGCAGTGGAGTCTTGCCACATACCATCAGTCTTTAAGCAACAGGTAGTAGTCAGCTGTCATGAAGCATCATTCATTAGTCAGCTCTCGAATTTCAATAACTGACATCCAGAAGTGCACTGCGTGCCCGCCGGCAGGAAACACAACTGCCAGGCTGCAGGGGGCGGGGGTCGCAGGAGTCGGAGTCACCACGACCAGAAAAGGCCCGGCCAGCACGGCTCGCCCCGGGGCTACCGTCACCGCCCCCGGGGACCCAGCCGGCCCCGGCCCTTGGAGGAAGGGACCTTCAACCCTGCGCCTCCCCCTTGGGATCCTTCCTTCCCTCGTAGGCACTCCAAGGCCGGCCGCTGAGGGTAGGACTTCCCTTCAGACACGGGAGTCGCGTGCGGCCCCAACATGGTATCTTGAAAGGATTTCATGCCTTAGCTAAGGTTTATAATCTGGATTGATGAGTGAGCTAATATAGCAGAATGGTGAAGTGTTTGGTCTCAAAGTCAAACCACCTGAGCTTGTAGCTTGACTTTGTTACTTATTTCTTGTGTGAATTTGAATGAGTTTTTTCTTTGTTTATCTTCTCTGCATCTCAGTTTCCTTACTTGGCATGGATTTGTTATGAGGATTAGGTGAGATAATCCACATAAAATACTTGAGAAAGCACCTGGTACACTAAATGTTAAGTAGGTATTAATTATTACTAGTTATTCTTCTTGTCTAGCTCCAGAGGGTATGTCAGCCACCTAGACATACCTTGTCTGTACTCTGAATTTGGGGCCTCCACTCTGAAACCAGACTCTTACCCACCTTACAGGCTTAAGGAAGGTAAACATCACTCCCTCCCACATAGCCATATGTGGAAGGACAGTGAACACCCTGCTGCACTGTGGAGCTGGAGCAGAAAGCAGTGCATGTGGACCAGAGTTGCCAACTTGCCCGAGTTCAAGTGAACATTGATGAGCCAAGACATTCTGTGACAACATGACAGCAGCTTGTATTTGTTTCCTCTTTCCTTGCTGCTTCCTTTTCAGTGAAACTTTTGTACAAAACAGACCACTGTACAACAAAGAAATTTCCAGGCCCTCAAATGGTTTGTTTCTTAAATGTTACCTGATCAGACCAAAGTTCAGTACAAATACTTGGAATTGTATAGGACTTTGGAATGTGTTGTGATCAACATGACTGATGAGAACAACTTAGGAATTAACTTCTTCAAGTGGGTGTCAAAAAATTATCTTATTTCTAATTCTGAGACTGCTATCTGGAGAACTTCCTTCTTGGATTACTTCCTTCCTGGATTTGGATTTCCCCCTGATAATCTCTGAAAAATAATATTCATCCCCACTCTACTGTCAGAGTCTGTCTAAAAGCACTTCAAGAGTTCCCCCCAAACAGTAGGCAAAGGCAAAGGAATAAAAACCCTTCCTGGTTTGATAGGTTCTCAAACCTGTCTTTCTATGTTTCCATGATAAGCCAATTAACAAAGAAGTTGGATGATTTTCTTGCATCAAAAACAAAGAAAATCCAGAAAGAGAATCTTATTATATGAAGAAAGACATTGTTTAATATGGATTAACTTTTAGGGTAGGATAACTTTAGGTAGGAATTATTTTGTTAAAATTTTTCTGTGACCTGAGTTAAGATTGCAAAATGCAAATCTTAAATTATCCTGAGAACCCTTCATACGGTGTCAGTGATTTTACAACTCTCATCTAAGTCCTTTTGACTGTTTAATCAGAAAAAACTAAATTTGTCCAATCTCAGAAGTCCCCAAGAATTCCAATACAAATATTTACTTTTTAATTGAAATATATTTATCATATAATACTGTGTAAGTTCAAGATGTACAATGTTAGTTTGATATATTTATATATTATAATATGATTGCCATTGTACTGATAATTAACACCTCTATCATGTTACATAATTATGCTTTCCTTTAAGAAGTTGGAATAATTAAGTTCTAGTCTCTTAACAAGTTTGGTGATTTTAATACAATATTGTTGTCTATATTCACTATACCATGCATTAGATCTCTAGGGTTTATTTACTACTCATTGCAAGTTTGTACCCTTAAACATCTGTCCTAATATTTCTCAAGTCATTCTTCACCACAGATGAGAGACTAAGTCTTATTAGTGAGGACACAATAATAATAGCAAGTGGCATCCTCACATATCACTTTATAATTTATAAATAAGTCATTTCATATACATTATCTCATTTAATCCTCACAACACTGTGAAATAATTATGAGAGATATAGTTATCCCAATTTTTATACATGAAGAGGACAGAAAGAAGAGGAATCAATAGAGATGACAGAGAATGGATGGCCACTCATAATTTATCCACCCATTCTTTCAACAACCACTAATGAATAATTATATGTTTCAAGTTACAAGAGGATATAGCAATAAACCAAATATTTATAAAACCTATAGCTTAATGAAAGCAACTGACAGTTAAAGAGATAATAAAATAAGATAAATGTTGGGATATGGATCTCTGAGATCAAAAAGCAGAGACCCCTACTTTAAAGGTTACAGAAAGCCTTCTTAAGGAACTTATATTTCAGCCAAGATATAGGAAAGGTAAGGAGTTAGCCAGATAAAGTGGAAGTGGGGATGAGTAGTCCTAGAGGAAGGAACATCATGTCCCAAGGACCAGAGATGAGTGATGACAAATAATGCTTACCACAAAACCAAAAGAATTTTATCATGATGGAGAAATGCAAGATGGAAAAGGAACAAGATGAAGCTGTAGAGTTAGAAAAAGCATGAAAGTCATATGGGACTTTATTTATTTTAAGACCAATGACAAAACAAAAGCTAAGGCAGCATAAAAAACTAGGAAAGTAAAATATTTTGGAGGTCAAGGACCAAGGAAAGCTTCAGGAATATAGTCAATGATATCCTAAAAAGAAGTCAAAGAATAAGAGAACTGAGAAGAGGCCACTTGAGATATCATGGATGACCTTAACATTTTCAGTTTGGTGGAAGAGGAGGAATACAAGCTCCATGTGTGATTAAAAGACAAGGAAGTAGAAACAAATGTTGTGTAGACTATGGTTTGAAAAGTTCAATTCCCTTATTGCTAGAGTCGGTCGCAGGGTCAAAGAAAGTTTTTCAAGACCGAAAAATTTAAACATGTTTGAAGGCACAGGGAAAAGGTTGAGGATAAAGGTAGAAATTAAAGATGTCATTAATTCATTGAAGATTATGGACGTGGTAATATACAGCATACTAACTATAGTTAATAATATTGTTTTTTAAAAAATATTTTATTTATTTATTTATTTGAGAGAAAGAGAGAATGCACAAAAGAGTGCATGAGCTGGTGGGGGGGTGGTGGAGGGGTAGAGGGAGAGGGAGAAGTGGGGTCCCCACTAAGCAGGGAGCCCCACACAAGGCACGATCCTTGGACCCTGGGATCACAACCTGAGCCAAAGGCAGCTGCTTAACCGACTGAGCCACCCAGGCGCCCCTATAGTTAATAATATTTTATTGCATATTTGGAAGTTGCTAAGAGAGTAGATCATAAAAGCTCTCATAACAAGGACAAAAAGCATTGTAACTCTGTATGGTGATGGATGCTAACTACACTTATTATGGTGATCATTTTGCAATATATACAAATATCAAATCATTATGTCATACACCTGAAACTAATATGTTATGTCAATTTTAAAAAATTAAGGAAATAGGATACATGGGAAGAGTTAAAATGAAATGCTCAGGGGGCGCCTGGGTGGCTCAGTGTGTTAAACGTCTGCTTTCAGCTCAGGTCATGATCCCAGGTTCCTGGGATCGAGCCCCACATCGGGTTTCCTGCTCAGTGGGGAGCCTGCTTCTCCCTCTCCCTCTGCTGCTCCCCCTACTTGTTCTCTCTGTAAAATAAATAAAATCTTAAAAAAAAAAAAAATGAAATGCTCAGGTGAGCAAGAAGGCTCAGAAAAATATCTGTGTACATGTTTTTAAAGCCCAAGTACCAAATCCAATCCTACCTATTTCCCTCTCCCTGGCTACTTAAACTATAACATTCCTGAAATGCTGTGTCTTTTTATCATTTGGTCTCTCTGTAGCGGGACACTTTCATGTTGGACCCAACTTACTTATCTTCATCTTTGAGATGATGTTTAAGATGATGTTAAGAATTGTTAAGTCACATATCCTTGAGATATGGAAAGACAACCTAGAAAATAAGTTCTGGCATATGAGGATATTCTTCTCCATTCCCATGAAAAGGGGAAGTGCTCATATGCAATAAATGGGTATGGAAATGTCTTCAGAATTTGAAGTGAGATGAGTCAGGCTGTTGTCTTTCATCACTTTAGTAACCAAAATGGCAAGTTCTCAGATCATCAAAGCATTGACAATCAACAAGGAGAAACCTCTCACAAGCATTTGCAAAGTAAGCCACCCAATGACGGTTGTGCCGTCAACACCCACAACACACACACACACACCCCAAAATTCCAGCAATGGGGTTTTTCTTAGACATTTCAAGGGATTATGGAATCAGATACCCTGGAAGATTGCATCTCAAAGTATTTCAAGACCTCTTACATCTATATGTGTGGATCCTCCTAGGCCGACAATGGAGAAGTAGAGGACAAATCTATCCCTTATGCAGGCTATAGGCAAAGAATATTGAAAAGAAAATTGATCTATTTGCAGATGCTGCAGAGCTGGATAACAGGACTCAACCAGAAGAATCACCTAATATTCTAAATATCCTCAACATATTCAAGCTTTGGGCCAAGACCAACAGTGTGAAATTTAGCTGGCACAAATCTTAATTCCTGCATCTAAAGTAAATACCATGATTGCATTTGAGCAAAGTGGAGGCAAGCTATGAAAAAGATCTGGGTATTTTAGTTGATCACAGGTTTAAGATGACCCAGTATAGCTACTAGAGACATCTAATGACACTTTAGACATACTAA